AAATGAAAAAACATCCAGGACAATTATCTTTTAAATCATGTTTTTAGTTCATGCTGTTTTTGTTTTAGGGTGTTTTATGTTTTTTACATGTTCATGAAATAGAAAGTACATAAAAAAAAATGCCACTACGAGAGCATTATGAAAAAAATCTGAAAGTAAATAAATTATTAAAATAAACTAAAAGAAAATCTTAATTTGATAGTTATAGTTTGTTTTCCATTTTTTATTTCTTGGACATTTATCTAGATTATTCTCTAAGAGGGCTAAAATGATAAAGAAATGAAGTACTGAAATAATCTGGTAATCAAATCATTACATAGTGGAGTAGAATTTGTAGAATTTTTATTTAATAAACAATATTAAATATAACTTCTAATCACATTAACATAAACAAACTCAGCTGACAGGATACTGAAATGTTCTTTTAACTTTTGCATGAAACTTCTTTAAATCTGACTTTTTACTGTGAAAATACTTAAGCTTAAAGCACGTCTACAATTGGACGATATTTATGATGCTGATAAACAATAAGCCCCGCCTTCCCTTTACAAACACTCTGGAGGGATTCGATTGCTTTTATTTCATTTCTGTTAAGTTTGTTGAAGACAATATTTATTCATTGGAAATATATTAGGGGGGGGGAGTTAATGTTCTACTAAATCAACATATTTTGCCATGGACAAATTATATTTAAGAATAAAATTTTGTAGAAACATCTATTAGTTTGAAGTAGAGTAAAGGTTCACATACTGCCATTCTATAAAAGGATAACTTACTGACACAAGAAAAAAACTTTACAAATATAAAAAATTTTTCAACATAAAATATCTTTTTTCGCCTCTTCCAAATGATTTGAAAATGTTAATTTACTTTAAGTAACCTCAAATTAGGGATTTCTAAAACAATCGATTGAATATTTAGTTTGTAATTTTGAATGAAACTGCTCTCCATAGAAAATGGTTTAAATGACTCCACAAATGATTCTGTAGGATGTTTAATAACTTTGTCAAGTTTTCTCTTACGGACCAAAATCAGTAGCCAGGAAATATTAGATCTATTGTTGTCAAACAGAACAACTGACTGGATTCATCGATCACAGGTAAAAGTTATGAAACTCCAAGATGAGCTGGAATCTGGAAAAAGCAAAAGGAAACCTGGAATGAGCATTCAGCAACAAGTGGAGAACTACAGACAGAAGCTGCTGCAGAAGGTGAGACTCCCTGTAGGGATCAGGTTTACTGCAGTGATCCTTCTACATTCATATTATTAGTGCTGTTGGTCGTCCACTGCATGCTCTACTCCAACAGACACAACAGTGCACTGCTTATCAGGAACTGGGGCAGCATCTTTGCAGCTCTGTTTGCTTCTGTACAGAGCTGCAGTTTTAACCAGACGTCGCCATCTTGTGGACAGAAAAGTCATTTTTTCTTCTGTGGGCAGAAGTAAATATGGGAATACTGCACCTCACTGAAGTGCTCATGCAACTAGAAATTCAATGTTAATTTGGCCCATTTTCTGTAAATAAAAGGTGATTTGTTGCCTTCATCAACTTTCAGGACCAAACCAGCACGGTTAAGCTTAGAAATATGAAAGCATGTGTCAAACTGAGCCTCTTTCTGCTGGATGTTTCTTCCTGTTTAAGGGAGTTTTCCTCTCCACTGTCGCTACAAGCATGCTGGGTGTGAGGGATTGCCTTGGAGTCAATGAGTCGTTGCAATCAACTGGTTTTCTTTTAATTTGACTGTATGATCTGGTTGAATTGTCTCTGTAAGGTGTCATGTTGTGAATTGGCGCTATATAAATAAACTGAATTCGGTTAAAACTGCTGCTTTAGTGAAGACTCAAAGTGCTGAGTACAGGTTAAGGTTGATTGGTTCAAAGTCAATTAAATGTTTGTCTGCTTTAGGAGTTTCACAAAGCCGAGGAAAAGAATGAGAGGTCAAAGACTAAAGATGCTCAGAGGGAAGAAAGGAGGCATAAAGAAAGAAGCAAAAAGAACGATGGAGACAGAAGGCAGAGCGGTAATCCTGGAGAAAAGTCCCGAAATTCAAAGAGTGTCTCTCCATCAAGGTAAGCATTAAAGAAGCTGCAGGTGGAGGAACTGAGCATACGTAAAGCTGATCTGGCGTCTTCTCGCTTCGCAGAACAAAGTCTCCTAAACGGTCTAAACGCTCCCGATCGCCATCTCCAGACCAGAAGGCAAGCAAGTCCAAGTCCCGATCCCCACATCGCTCCCACAAGAAGGCAAAGAAGAGTAAACACTGACCTGATTCAGGACTTGAAACCTTCTTTTGGTTCCATAAAAAGACTCGGCACCTTTTTGTATTGTGAAGTTTCACCGCTGTAACTACTTATATTTTTGTTTTTAAAAATCTGACATTGTCACAAAGTTCTGACACTAAATAAAATCACCTTTGGTGATGAATGTTTCTGTGGAAGACATGGAAAAGAAAAAAAAAAGTCAGGCAGCCTTTCTGTTTGTGCAGATTTTTTATTGATGAAAGTACATTATTTGTTTACAAAAGCTGAAAGATTTCCGTCTGGATGAGTTACAGTGCTGTGATGAACAGGAAATGAACCAACGTTTTCTGAAACATTTAGGACATCCAGTTTGAATCCTTAGTAGTTTGCTGAACTGTGCGGATCAGCTGAAGTCATTTGCTTTTAAGAGAAATGTAAGAAGCCTGACCACAAAACGTATTAATCAGAGAACAGTAACTTTTGACAGGGGTTGACTTTAACAAGAACAGATCGGCCTGAGATGTGAAAACCAAGGAAATGGGGAAGGTGCTCAGAACCATAGAAAATAATTTTGTTCTCTATAATAATTCTTGGCCACACAGCTATAATCATGAACATCTGAACAGAATTAATTTCTGTGCAAATATTTCTGGATCTCCAGATGTTGAACTGTTCAGTTACCTGGTATGAAAGATAAAAAATAAGACAAGTTGCTTCACCTTGCCCACATTGTACAGTCTTTCTCCACTTTACACTGAGAGGAACAACCGTTAGGTAGAGAAAGGAACTTTGACTCATCGTCCATCTTCAGCTGAACAGGCCTGCGTCCAAAGTGCTCAGTACTTTTTGACGTTGATGAAAACTTTAATTGCTCCAGTAAAGTCAGCAGAGAGGAGAACTTCTGTGTGATCAGTTTTCAGGGCTCCTGCAGGGAAAACAAATGGCACTGAAACGCAGCTCCTCTCTGAGGGAATCAGATGAACGTGAAGCGGAGGACCTACTGTACCTGATGGTATCGTTTCAGAGGAATCCGTGGAGTCCAGGCTCTTCCGGTCTGCCTCGGGTTTCTCTGCTAACGGATCTTGAGGAACGATAAGATCCGGATGAGGTGCAAAAACAGCTGAGGTGACGACTGCATTGTGTGCTGGAAGACAAAAACAAACCGTTTAGAAACAAGGAGCAGATAATTTACGTTAGATGCTTTTTTACTGGTTACCTTTGATGCCTTCCCAGAAGTCATTGCGGTCTCGTCGTACTGATGTGAATTTGCTCAGATCGTGGTAAGTGCTCCAGATGTACACATATTTATCCTCTGAGCCACTGACTATAAAGGAGTAGTCATGGCTGTAGAAGAAGAGGACAGACTGGATTAGTTTTTGAGTAAAATGGAAAAATTTTCTTTGTTAAATTATTTTTCCCCATTTCTAAATTATCTTATCCAAAAGTTAGACCAGATAGTTCTACAGAGATCAGGCTCTATGGACAGAGTGGGGCTGAAATGATGAATCAAGTTAATCATTAATTAAAAGGTCATCTCACTTGGTAATTTGTTTCCTAGCGTAACGGTACAGACTATAAAACATTAATTTTGCAGAATGAATAACCAACTTGCAGGAAATTGAGCATAAACATAAAATATTATTTGTAATTTTAATTCATTTAAAATACGGCATTTTCTTTTTCCATATTCCACAAAAAAATATTTTTACATTAATTAAATCATGAATAAATAAATAAAAACATTAGGTAAAGTCCTAGTTGTCACAATACATGGTATTGTTTTCAACTACTCAAAGGCTTACATAACCCACATATGACAAAACTGATTTGATGCTTTTAATGTGCAAATAGTCCAGAAAATGTAAGTTAGAAGCAAAAAATATACAAGCACTTGATATAGTGCCGAATCTGTATTGTTTCTAAGTAGTAGTATTTTTGAAAAGCTTAATAGAAAGTCTGCAAAATCCACAGCAAAGAAGGATTAAAAAAATGGTCAAAGCAACAAAAGGAGTGGAGATGGGCTAAAAGGTAAGAACTTTTTCTTTGCAAGCTGTGTTGGAACAATACAAAACATCTAATAGACCTTTCATATTAAATGACAGCACTTCCTTTCTCTTTAGAAAAGTAAGAAGCAGCAGAGAACAAACATGTGGAGCTGGATAGGAACGTCTCTCACCTAAAGCTGGCTTTTATCTGGCTGCTGCTGTTGACGTAACCTTTGTACTTCATGGACAGAGACAGGTCTCTCAGGTCATACAGACGAATACGGGAATCATTTGAGGTAACCAAAATCTACCAGAGAGGAGAGATTTGGACATTTATCGACCCTCTCTGCAGCATTATCTACCAGGCTGTCTGTGGGGGAATAGGAGCTGTTACCTTGTTCTCCCCAGGCAGAGGTTCAATGCCTGTAATTTTGCGGCCGACTTTGTTCCTTCCTCTGGTTGATCTCACGTGAATTTGGGTGTGGTATTTCAGCCGCTAGTACATAAACAGGAAAGCTACATCAGATTCCAAAATCTCCTTAGAACAATCAGGATAAAAACTACAGGATACCTCAGTGTCATAAAAGATGCAGCGTCCATCATAGGTGCCGATGACGGCGTATTTCCCATTCTGGCAGAAGTTGGCGGCGGTGATGAGCCGTGTTTGACCATCCACCTCATTCCACAGAGCCACCTTCTTATCTGGAATGTTCCAAAGTCGGAGTTTTCCATCCAAAGAACCACTTAAAAAGTATCTGTCATCCTATAAAACACAGACAGAAGTAAAACCTGCTTTAGAAATCAATTAATAAAGTCTTAACAGATCCCGATGTGTGCTGCTGATTTTGGAACCAATATTCTTTTCTTTCCTCCGTTCAAATGGATATAGTGTTACATGAAAAACGATACGAAAGTCTAAATAAAAAAATTTAAAAAACGTTCATGAAGAAATCCATCGAAATATTACAAATGGCTACTGAAAGCAGGAATGAACGGGGGAACACATGCCTCTATCGGCCAAAACCAGAAAAAATAAATTGAAAATCATCATCAGTGGGCCGATGGTCTACATTTAACCTGTAGCTCCTGGGTTGTTCCCAAAGATCCTTTCATTAAGGAGGATTTGGGTTAGATGGTTGAGACCTGACTGGAGGATTTAGAAGGACAATAATCCTAAACACAGCTGGACTTTTTGGATGTGTGAACAATGAAGAGGTAGAAAGAAAAAAAAAAAAAAAACATTTTGTGGCTAAAACAATTTAGCCACAAAATAAAATTGCAATTTTTTTCTCCCAAACAATATTACAACTGCAATTTTATTCAAATCCTTTAGCATCATCCAAAAGCTTCACTCCAGGATTTCCTGTCCTGACCTTGAAAGCTCGCTATTCCAGAGTCCATTGTTGCAGGACTTCACCATTCCTGTTGTGTGGAAAAGTGCCAACTTTCAATCTCATGCATGGATCTGCGTGCTAACTGAAACTCTGTCCCTTTCTCTGTGGCGCTAAACCTGCTGTAAACATTTAACCACCACCTAAAAGGCTGGAGTTAGAAAGTCAATATCTTAACTCTTGTTAAATATGATATAACCATAATTAAGTGCCTCAGTCGTTTGAAAACTGCAGTTAGTTAAATTCTGATTATTTTGAATGCAAACTTCATAAAGTCCACAGAGTGTGTCTATTAACCTGGAAATGCCCTGTATAAAACCCACCGACAGTAAATGTTAATTTTCCAGCCAGGAGGAAGTCAGAGGTTAAACCACTCACTCTCCTTGACTCTCCTAATGATCTTAGGTTATATCCAATAGACCTTTGGGTTCAATAAGACGTTGGTCGCCCTCTGGAGCTATAAGAGCTTCAATTCTTCTGGGAATTCTATTCCTGAGGTTTAGGAGCCTGTAAATGAGAACTTTTCCCTCATTCTTTCAGAAGCTCATGTTCGGGGTCATAGACTGATATTGGAGGAGGAAGCATGGCTCTGCATTTCTGCTCTAATGAGTTGATTCCACCTGTCAATCTGAACTAAAGGCTAATCAGCGTCTGACCAATCAGAGATCTCCATTTATCTTGATGTGAAACGGTCCTCCCATGCAGTTACGCTCTCTGACAAAGTAACCAGGATTTCGTATTAGAAAGGCACAGTGGAATTGCGAAAATTGTTTGACATGTAGCCTTTTGTTGCCTTTTTTTCCTTGAGGAGCGTGTGATTCAGAGACATTACCTGAAATAATCAGAGGATGGATAACAGCTAATTCTGTGTGGAAAAAAAACAAAAAGGAAAAAAATCCTCCACGATACCTATAAAGGTAATATCGGGTTCAGAGGTGAAAAAATGTGGATGGATGCATCCATATTGCTTTGTTCTAGGACCTTCCACTTCACTATAACGCACTCATGTTAAAGGTGAGAACCTAATTTTTTGCCTTGAACACAGCATATAAACATTTTGTATTTATTTATAAAAAAAAAAAGGGACAATGCATTTAAATGGTATAAAACACATTAAAAAATACAAGATTATAATCCAGGCTAACTTCTTTCCTCTGTCCCCTGTCGAGTCCAACCCCGCTACTCACTGCATATAACATACCAAAAAAATGTTTTAAAAATTTTTAAAACAAAGATTGAATGTATCCAGCCTCCAAAACCCATCTACATTTATATATTCACAATAAAGAATTAGAAAAGCACCCTGAGTACTCAGACCTCCACCAAGCAGCAAATGCCCCATATTGTGATTTACGCCTATAGCTAAAACTGACCCATGATCTGGATCATTACCAAACTGTAATGAATTGTTCATTGGCAAGAAGCTCCCCTTTGGTAAAAAATTTCATCAAAATGCCCTCATATCTTTTTAATGAATCTTGATAACTAACAAACACGACCAAAAATCTAACCTCCTATCAATGCTTTGTGTTTAGAAGTTATTTACATAAGTGGAACCAAAGTCCTTGTCTGAACAAGCTTGGCTGATAAAGTCGATTCTGAAAAAAACAACGAAAAAAAAAACTGATGTGGTTTCTATGAAACCCCCTGAATGACTTTTAACCAGACATTAACGATATTCAACCTGATAAAAACTGATCAAATGAACCAGTAAACCCTAAATTGAAGACAAACACATGATGAACCAACTTACTCTGGGGTGGAAAGCAATGGCTGTGACGAAGTCGATGTGCTGGAAGCAGCAGAGGCACTCTCTC